GAATTTGATGAACAACTAATCTAAATTGAGCAGATAGGGAGGTAGAAGAATCTTAGAAAAAAAGAAGGCATTGGCAAGTTCATACTTTACAAATGAAATGGTGGACTTTCACCATGATCTAATGCAGTGAGGGAGAACCTAGGACATACATGTCAGAGATGACACATCATGTTTTGGGTGACATGCCAGTATTCACCAATATTCAACAACTATTCTTGAAAGCATTGCCCCATACTTGTGCGATTTTTGAGGCTGCAGAGGTCATGCAAGAAATGGCTGCAGAGGATGTGGAAGAGCTTTCTCTGAAGCCACTTCAAGAATGAAGGCCCTTGGCAACTCAGAGCAGCCTCAAGTAGGAAATAGAAAGAAAGAAAATACTGAAGGTAAGAAGCTCATGGTAGCTGTGTGGGAGTGCTGGCCCATGACTCACAGGCTTGGGACATGGGGCAAGGTTTTCTTTTTCAATAGCAGTGGTGATGCTAGGGTTGAAGTCAAAGCCCAGGCCTTGACTTCAGACCCAGTCTTTGTGCTGCGTCAAGTGTCATTGTTCAAGGTAAGCCTAGATGGAGGGGAGATAGAGAATTGTTTCTCTTTTGTTTGGGTATGGGATATGACATATCAGCAGAATCAAGTCAGGCATTTTCCAGATTTTTGTCAGGCCAAGCCCAAAAGGTTTGCCATCACTGATCTAATGTATGCTCAGTTAGAAATAAGCTTCACCATATTCAATAAGCTTACTGTAGGTAAGTGGTCATTGATTACAATTATGATTTGCAAAGCATTACCACCACCACCATCCCAAAAAAAATAGATATTTGGGGAAACTGTTAAGAGTTAGAGAAGTATTGGAACATTGGATTGGATGAATTCAGTGCAACATATTCCTTGCATTTCCTGTTTTTTAAATATCAGAATTTTTTGCTTACTGTATATAATTCTGTAGCCGTGCATTGCTTTGGCAAGTATCAGCCCAAATACAGCCACTCAATAGAGCCTGGGACAGGGTGAGTTATGACTTGTTCCCTGATGTTGAATCCCTGTCTTATAATTGTAATTGGGTTTTATTTTTGTTCTTCCTGCCATTGGTTATTACTGTGGATGGTTTCGGTGTTTACTTTTTTATTATCATTATCAGATGCTTTTAAATCTTATAATCCTTTGTGATTAAGATGATCCATAAGTTCATTAAATTAATAAATCAAACAGTTTCCTCGGTTTTTCAATAAAGCTTCTGGTTTTTCTAATTCTATACGTATTTTTTAATGTCAGTTTTTGAAGACCAGGTTGAGCGCCTTCTACTGAGTTGCCCCTGCTTTCTGTCTTCAAGTTCTGTCCTCTTCTGTTCTGATGTCAGTAGGTAATATTTTAGGCTTTAAACTCCTTTCTCTTTTTTCTTTTTTAAAACAGGTGAGGAATTAGTACCAGAAGCTCCACCCACTTCTTTATTTGGCCAGAATACCAAGACTTTGTTAAATCACCTAAAGAAGAGGCATCCTATTGGTCCCATATCTAATGATCAGATACTCCTCACTGTCAGTACAGTACACCATGCCTATCAACAGGATGATGTCAGTGCCAATATGGCATACAACGTGAACATTAAAGATGCTTGGGAACCTGTTCAGCCCAAGAAATCACTGTCTAAATCAACTCTAACTTCTCAAAGTTCAAAGTACAAGGCAATAGATCTAGCAGCCCAAGTGAAACAACTAAAGGCTGTTGGTGTCACTTTAGGTATGGAAAAGATTTCCTCACCTTATGAAACCAAAATGCTACAGCTCAACACAAAGAATTCTTTGCTTGGGAGTGCTGTGAAATCCTTCATTCCTCCCCCCTCTATCACACGTTCCAAGTCTTGCAGCAGCTTGTCAAGAAGAAAAGCTTATTTTAACATCTCATCTCCAGCTGTTGCTAAGAGTAATATCATTGGTGGCATTACAACTTCAGCTGAATCCATCAAAATACCACGAATGAAGATTGCCCAACCTGATACCAATGTAACTTCACGGCGCAGAAAATATTTTTATGCCCTTAATGCAAATCCTTATCGTTATAATACTGGGTTCCAACTTCTTACTACACAACAAATGAAAGAATATGAAGAAGCTAAGATTGCAGAGTATCAGGCAAGCAAAACAAAAGTTATTGCAAATAGAGAAAAGGTGTGTAAAAATGCTTGGGTGAGGAAAATTAAAGGTCTTCCCATAGATGACTTCACTAAGGAGGGCAGAGCTGCTGCTCCTGAACTTGGAGATAATGTTTTCATTTGAGGCTAGCTTCTTTAATACAGCTGACAAACCCTGGAAAACAAATGCAAAATTCCAGCCCAGGTACTGTTGATTTCCTCTGATCTGAAACTTTGTCCTATTTCCCTCTTTTGGGAGACTGTGACAAACTGTACCATATCAAAAAATTAGACGACCTTTGTTTTCAAAAATGAAAAGTTTTCCTCCCTTTCCTAAAATAATTCCAGTTTGCAACATTTGTATTTTATTAAAGTTCCTGTTCTGTTCATGAATGTTTATTAACAAGATGATAATACCCTTTATAAATTTTGCTTCATAAATTATGTGTGCAATCCTGAGGTGTCTTACTTAGCTGATATCTTAGTGTAACTGTTTCACTGTGTAGTTATAAAAGTTATCAAAATTATGTTTAGAACATATTTTTCAAAATTTGAAATTAGTGTTTGTTTTGTACCATACTTTCTTATAGAGTAAGTCATTGTTTTACAGACTTTGTTCTTAGCTGCAAAATAGAACAGAGATGAAATCAAATGCTTTTATTTATAATTTGCACAAATGACACAGGTGGGTAGAAGTATTATACATGCTCCTAGACAGAAAATTGCAGCAAGTGACCCTTCTCTTCACATAAAAAGCTCCGTGGGAGCAACAAAATCAGCAATACCTTTTTGTTAGCCTGATACCTGAGGGGAGGGGGAAGTTATTATGAAAAAAACGGGAGCATCTGCAGGCTCTTGCTGCATTTGTCAAAACTTTGCCCCTTTGAGGCATGCATGCAATCAAAAATTAGGTACACATTCAAAAATTGGGTGGGGCTCTTGGCAGGAAAGATTGAATCCCATCTTAACTGCATCAGATCAGCTATCTCTATAGCCTATGGTTCTGTTCCTCGCATGTAGTTTAATTTGGCTACATTCCTCAAAACTTCAAATAACAATTCAAATTCAGGGATTTTGCTTGCAAATTATGCTTAAGAATGCTTTTTTTAAAGACAAGTTTTATTAAAAAAAAATTCTTTTCATCGTACATATTTTATGAACAGAATGTTGACCAGGTCACATCTTATGCATCTTATACATAATCAAAATCATCATAATATATTTTAATCTTCCTGTTTTTTCCAATATTTATCCCTTTTGCTTAAGAGTGTTAAGATCATGTTTTGGAAGAATGAAGCGAACTATTTAAGAGCAGCCATGGACAAAAAAATATATAGCAGGGAAGAGTTACATTATTTTTTGAACCATATAATTATTAATAGTAAATATTTAAAGGCAAATTTATTTTCTCATGTTTCATGTGTATGCAGTAGATCAGGGCTGTCAAACTCCCGGCCTATGGGCCAGGTGCGTCATGCCACATCCACGCCTGCTTTAACGAAGGGGGAAAAAGTCCCGCTACATCATGTGACACCGCCATGACAATGTGAGTTTGACATCCCTGCGGTAGATAGTATGCACAAAAGTATCATTCATAGGCATCATAGTGGGATGTCCTGTAAAAAAACAACTTTTATTTTGCCAATAGGCTGTAGCTGATAGGTCTTCTACTCTTCTACATACTTCCTTAGAACACAGATTGTTAGAAAAAAATAAGTTCAAATACTTAGCATTCACTATTGTATTGTTATGACAAAACAATGGTTTTTATTTTGCATCATAACTCAGATCTTTCACAGAAAGAGTCATCCATTTCTCAGCTTTTTTACACAGAAGATAAATGGTTAGGCGCTAAAATATGGAATAAGATTATTACAGAAAAAGACAAAAATAGGTTGTTATATCTGCCAATGTCCTTGAAGATTATAGGGGCCATCTAGCACTCTAAATATAGCCAAGTTGATTTCAGCAGAGCCCTCCTCCCATATTGTTAAATCATGTTCAGTGCTTTCATTGGTGCTTTGCAGCAAAAAAAAAAAAAGAAAGAAAAGAAAAAAAAAAAGAGGAGAACTGCAAAGTTCCTAAATCTGTATATTTGGTTGTATTTAAAATACTGATGAAATCGAGTCTTGGCATGCTACTACAAATCCTATGCATCCGCAGGGAAGGGAGGGAGGTTAGTTTAAGAAGAAAAAGTTGCTGCCAATCAGGAAATGACCAACCCGGAGATTGTACAGAGCTTCAGAGTGTAATGGAAACAACCTTTATTGCAATATTTAAGGAGCAACCCGTTTCCAGGAAAATTGCAGGGACTTATCCAGGCAGTTGTCAGGAGTGAAGACTGACTCAAAGGCACACATTCCTCAAAAAAGTGCAGTGTTAGGATGAATCCAGAAATAAATGGGCTCAGCTGCCAGACTGATACAGATACAGGCCTAATTATGGAATGATGCAAAGCCTTGATAAGTAAGTAAAATTTCATGCTGCTCTTCCATCTGCACAATCGCTGGTTCCTTCGGATACATAGAAGCCAAACTCCTGGCCTAGCCTTAATGGGGTGGTGGGGTGGGTGGGAGATAGACAGACAGACATCCACCCCTGGAAAATCTTAAAGAAAAACTGTTTTTGAGAACATCTGTCCCTTTGTCAAGACAAAAACACCCCCTTCCAACCTCACAATTCAAGAAAGGAGAGCAGTGACATCTCTAGGAAGACACCCAATCATCACCATCCTGCCAGCTGATAAAGGAAGATGCACACTCATCCTGAACACAGATTACTAAAAGGCCAAGGTGAACAATCTTCTGAAGATCAATGCTATATATGAAACTCTAAAGAGACCCCACCAGTAGTTACAAGAAACTTGAAAAAGCACCTTTGAGACAATCATGACCTGGATGACTGAGAATCTCCGTAGACCTCTATCCCTTTGCTTTACAGATTATTCATCTCCATTAACTGATTGTTCAGGAGATATTAGGAGCCGTGGTAGTGCAGTGGTTAGAGTGCAGTACTGGCTATTTCTGCTGGCTGCCTGCAATTTGGCAGTTCAAATCTCACCAGGCTGAAGGTTGACTCAGCTTTCCATCCTCCTGAGGTGGGTAAAGCTGCATAGCGCTGAACTAACATAATCTACATTAAAGCTAATCACTGCGCCGACAGCCCCATTTTTAAAGTTTAAGAGCTTAAAGAATATAATAATTAATTGCAACATGTTTCATTTTGAGGGCCACGTTACATTTCCCCATCTTATCCCTGTTAAAACCCTGACTTCTCTAGAGCGGAGGTCTTCAAACTTGGCGGCTTTAAGACTTGTGGACTTCAACTCCCAGAATTCTCCACCCAGCAATTCTGGGAGTTGAAGTCCACACGTCTTAAAGCTGCCAAGTTTGGGGACCCCTGCCTAGAGAGTCAATCTGGAGCAGTGTTTATCAACCTTAGCAACGACCTGCATGGTGCTGCGACAGTTAAAAGTCCCAGCATCTTAAAACCGATAAGGCTGAGAAACATTGCTTAGAGAAGCCTCTCGTACTCGGAATAGAGATAACCTAATCGCCAACGGAGACGAGCGTTCTACACCTATCAGTCAACGCTTGACGGCTTTCTATTGGACTTGGAGGCGTTACCGCATAGCCTGGCGTCCGTCGCACGTTGATGACGTAGACGGCTTTGCTTGGGGGAGTTGGTTGTGACGTGGCAGAAGGCGGAAGCGATGTTGCGGCAGGTGGGAGCTCAGGGGCTATTATTTCCTAGCGCGGGCCAGGGACGCTGAGTGGGTAACTCACATCGGGACTGAAGGGACTTTTTAATATTGGAGAGGGAGGTGAGCTGGAAGAGGACCTGGTAGAGGACTTCCAAGCCAAGGTCGTGGCTGCGGGAAATGAGTCCATCGCGATGAAGCCCATCCCAAGCTGCCCAAGTTGTAGCTGCTTTGTTAGAAGAGGGGAAGACCAGCTTGGCTTTTGCCCCTCATCCTCCTTCCTTCTCCTGTGATGTCCGGGCTTACTGCCCGCAAAGCATTTCTTTCTCCCTGTCCCCAACTATTAAATGCTTTTGTATATTGCTTTTAATTTGGGGTGAGGGAGTTGCGTTTCTAAGGCTCCCAGGGGATCAAAATGTGGGTATAATTGGAATGAAACTGTGTATAATTGTCGAAATAAAATCCTCTGATGAACTCTAGCAAATTATGAAGACTAGGATTTGCAGGGTGCGAAAATCCGAGGTCGGCAAGGCGGCAGCATATAGCTAACTCTTAACGATTGCTGGTACCCACTGGTCATTTTTAACTTAAAAAGGTGGCCTTAAGATATCGCACGAACAGCAGGTTGGCTGTAGTGTTACATGCCTGTGAATTGGAATACATGACATTAAGTTTAGAGTAGTTTTATTTAGTAGTTATGTGACTACGTATATTTCCCACTTATGATTTATAATGTCTTTTAGAGTCATCCCACAGTTTGAAAGATCAGTAATGAGTATGGGTTTATATTTCTTCAAAATTGGGTGGATGGCCCTGTAGGTTTATAATTCATTAGTGAGGAAATAGAAATATTTGAGCTTTAATCCTCCCTTCACTCAAAAAACTCAAAGCAATGAACTTGGAACTCCCTTCTAATTTTCCCTGCAGCAACTACCCTGCAGGGTAGGTTGAAATGAAAGAAAGTTAATTGGGGTGCTAACTGAGGCTAGAGATTCTCAAATACTTGAAGGGATACAAGTATCCTATTGTTGTTACCTGACGGCTCTAAATGTAAACTTTTACTAACATCAGAGAATTATGAACAATAATTCTCAATGATTCTGAATTATGAACAATAATTCTCAACAGTAATGAACAATGGTATCAGATAATGTTTTCAGATTCCTATTATTTGGTTTTCATCAGGGATATAGTTTTAGCATTAAACAATGCCATGATTTACCTTTTATTTTAGGTTATTCTTAGCTCAGGTTTTAAGTGTTTTTAGCTTATTAATAATGGTATGCTAAAATGCTATACACGCATTCATAGAAAATCATTAAAATTGATGTTTTCTTTATAGTGCTATTGTTTGATCCCTACTTCTTTAAACTTTCTTTGACTGAAATAATTATGTTGATTGAACATAATTTATCCATAAGAAATGGATAACAAATCCAATATCCAGATTTTATTTTTTTTCCCCTAAAAATATTGTCACTGAGGATGACTAGTTAGTATACATGTTTTATCAAAGGTCCTGTAGAAAGTTGCTATTGGCTTCAAGTAGCAAATAATTAAACATGGTTTCCAGCGTAGTTAGTTAGCCATCTCCTTTTTAACATTACATGGTATCAGTTTTAAGAATGTATGCATTCCTGAAAACTTGCTGTAGCAAACTACTTGTTGAAGGGCCTATGAAATATTTTCTAGTTTAATGTAGAATAACAACTCTTAATAAAAGAAAACATTTTTGTTTAATCAATTGCATTCCTTTTTATAATGACATTAATTAACTAAACAGGAAATAGATCCATGTTTTGCTATAGAGTTTTAAAATAAAAAACTTAGATTCTGTTGCTATTATTTTAATCAGAGTTTTGCCAAGTGAAATTGTATATCACTATACCAAAATACTGGTTCCTCATGTCTCAGTAATTTTGTAAGTTCCATCTTGAAGTACCACAGAATCTGGCATTTCCCTGTGAGAATCATAGTGGTGTTCTGCTATGGAGCTTGTGTCACAATGCTTGTTTTATCATCTGCTCCCCCTTACCCTCACCTCCAGGCACCCATAGTTTTATCACAATAGCATAGGTTGGAGTTTTTTGTTGAATTGTTGCACAATGGTATAGATTTTTTTAAAAAAAGAATCCCATTTTTAAAATCTGTTTCTCTTTAGGATAGTAATGATGAGACGGAAGATGTTTCACTTTTTGATGGAGAAGATGAAATGTCCAGAAAGTCCAAGAAATCAAAAATAAAGTAAGTCTGGAAGAAAGAGGCTGCTATGTCTTAACAGGCTTTTGGGGCGATGGTTGGGGAAAAAAAGTTCTGGCATGGCCTAATTCTTCTAAGAAGCTGCAAATATAGTTTGGTTTAGTAAACACAGGTGAAATCCTGTGTAGGTGTATAGGTTGAAAATATTTTCATTAATATCGGCATAGATTCTGCTTTCGTTGTCGTATCTAGGAGACTTACATAGAATGAACTGCAATATTATCTCCTTACCTTCATCAGACATTTGCAAGGAAATGATGTTGTGGAGTATGGTGTTTCAAGTTAAAGAATTTGTTTGTTCATATTTAATACTTTTAATTCTATTAAACAACATCTATCTAACTCAGGTCCTTGGGAAGAACTCAATAGATGGACAAAAATTCCAAATCCAGTCTAAACACTTGGCTGACTGTGTGACCAATCATAATAATATAGTAATGCTAATAAGAATATTGCTGCATTTATGAAATTGGAATAATAGCATAAATTCTAAACCTTGATTTGGCCAGATTAAACACTGAAATTTGATAACCAAATTATTTTCTTCCTTTGTCTTTTACAGACACCCTATAGCTTCTTTTTTCCACTTGTTCTTCCGGGTCAGTGCAGTAATTGTCTACTTACTTTGTGAATTGTTAAGCAACAGCTATATTGCCTGTATGGTGACAATCATCTTACTACTGTCATGTGACTTTTGGGCAGTGAAGGTAAGTCATTTTGTAAGATGTTGATATTCGAAAAAGTTATCAGAGAAATTGGTAGTGTAGGGAACAGTACTGTTAAATCAAATTTCAAATACTAATTGTGATTTCATTTAGTTTGCTTTTCTTTCTGCTTGTCAAATACAGAGATCAAAGTAATGAGCTGGGGGAGGGTGCTCTTTGGTGCTTTGAGCTGTTTTACTAAAATTATATCAGAACATGTGTAGAATGTGATTTCCATCTTGACATATAAGGAAGTTTGCATTTGCATTCAATATAACCAGGTGACTATTTCTATCCTTTATTCTAATTGTAGACATTTTACCATCCTATATACATGCAGAAGGCTTGCTCTCTATGATACTTTATAACTACTTTTTGTGGATTTTAATTAATGTTTTCATTGGAACATTACTTTATCAAGAGTTCTGTTTATGGGATGTTTCTGCCACCAAAGGAGACAGCATTTTTTAAATTTATTCTCCTAACCTTTATAGAAGCATAATACGTTACTACAGAGTTTTTGAGCTGGGAGGATGGAAATCCTGTGGAAAACATGCATGGTTCTTTTGCATTCATGGAATTCAGAATGGAGCCAAAAACATAAAAAGAAGAAAAAGAAAGAACTTTTCATTGTAGGAAGAAGTTGTGTGCATTTATATATTAAATTCAGAGTGAAATTAACACAGCATGATTATGTGATAACAAGGGCTTAAGGGGGTACAGTATATGTTCCAATTGAAAAATAGTGTTATTTGTCCATTTGCTTGCTTAGGACTCATCATTATTACAGATATTGAACAAAACAGCCTCTTTCCCTTGTACAAAGTAGACGCCAGTTCTATTCCTTGGCCATGCTGTCATTGTTATAATGTATTTTAGAGAGCATGTCAAAGTGAGGTAGGAGTATTCACATTGTTAAATATGTGTTATTGCACTTTTATGCCTGATAATATTACAAATATGTTTGAATGTTTGAAAAAAGCACTTCTATCATGTAATTGCTTTATATCTTTCAAGCAGGCACTTGTTATAAACATTCCAGAGTTATTTGGGCAGGAAGACATATGGCAAACTATTCTTGTGGCATTTGAAATAACCAGAAGGCGTATAACCTATATTCATGATAGTGGTCTAAGAGACTTTGTAACAACATGTCTCCATGTCACTAGTGAAATTATAACTTTGCTTGCCAAGCAACTATTTGCAGTAAACTTAATAGGATTGCCGAGAATATTGCCCAGGGGCATACTAGTGCAAGTTGAGCAATTGATAGCTCACTTAGAACTGTGACTCTAATAGGTGCCCGTGGTCATAATGTTGAACAGCACAACAGGAATGAGATTCTTGTTTCATTAGAGTTCTGTGAATAAAACAGTGGAGGCATTTGGGGAAGCTTATTTAGCAAAATGTATGATTGCTGTTGCAGAAAGCACTTCCATGCTGTATTTAACTCTCTCCAGAATGTCACAGGAAGGTTGATGGTTGGCCTCCGATGGTGGAATCAGGTTGATGATGATGGCAAAAGTCACTGGGTTTTTGAAGCCAGGAAGGTAAATATCTCCCCTGTTGCTGAGGGAATGACTGTGAATGGCGTACTCTACAGCTTAAAGCACTTTTAATTACAGAATTGGATACAAGGTCACTACACACAAATCACAGCACAATTATTGGGGTTAGTAGTTGTGTGCATTTGAAATCTGCTTTACCCTCTGATTTGGAGGCTAGGCTACAAAGATGTACAGAATATGTTCATTTGCAGTGAGATAAATGATATGAAACTATTGAACTTATTTTAAAGAATTACGATTGAATGAGCTAAGATCAAATTGTGTAATCATACAAGCAATATATTTTAGAGTTCCTGTACAGTAACTGTTAGTTACTTTAAAGAACGAAAACACAAGCAGCAGTTTTTAGGCACACTGAGAATCTTTTTTTCAAACTTAAATCATGAAAATATTTAGATACATCAGGCCAATACAAATGAAATGTTCCCTTTAATGTGAGTTTGAGGGTAGGTTCTCAGTTTATACATCTTACAGGCTTGAACAGGAATATGAAGATAAACTTGAAGAAGAATATGCAACAGTCATTACAAAAACATCATCTTAGCTAGGAAATATAGAAGGGAGTGAGGAAGAAACTCATTTTGACTATAACAGGGAGAGAGAAACTGTCAGGCTTTCCAGGATTCTGTTACTACATACTACAGCAATAAAGATGAGTCACTGTAGTTCTTGCATTGTCTGGTTCCTGACATGCTGACACAGACTACAGTTAGTTTTCAAATATTTGATCCCCTTTGGTCTTCATCACGTGAAGACTTGTTTAAGCAATGATATTTACTGTTCTTTACAGGTAGTTCTCACTTTACATCCATTTGTTTCAGCAACTGAAGTTACAGTGATGATGAACGACTGGTTTGTTGTTGTTAGTTGCAAAGTTGTGTCCGATCCATCGTGACTCCATGGACAATGTTCCTCCAGGTTTTCCTGTCCTCTACCATCCTCTGGAGTCCATTTAAGCTCACGCCTATTGCTTCAGTGATTCCATCCAGCCACCTTGTTCTCTGTCGTCCCTTTTTTCTTTTGCCTTCAATCTTTCCCAGCATTAAGCTCTTCTCCAGTGAGTCCTTCCTTCTCATTAGGTGGCCAAAGTATTTGAGAATGACTGGTACTTAGGCCCAGTTCCTGAAGTTATGGTTACATGATCAGAATTCAGTTACTTGGCAATACCCTACCTGCATTTATGACTGCAGGGGAATCTCTGCCCTTTTGGCTCCTGCACAACGAAACTTATTGGCAGAAGCAGCAATGCTGGGATTGAAGTAGTGGCTTGGGGCCTTCGGAAGTGACAGCCAGCCAGCACCACTGGTGAGTGTGGGCCTCTACTTCAGTCCAGAGCCATCTCAAGCGCTAAACTGTGGCCAGATTCCTCTGCCACATTCACCTTCACCATCTTCCCCTGCTGATGAGGTCTGCCCTGTGTGAGGCAGCTGCTGATTGTGAGAGGCCTTTTCCCAAGGCCATTCTTCAAATCATGAGCAGCATTGGGAGAAAGGCCTGTTGAAGCCAGAGGCTGCCTCACATAGAGCCATGCCAGACATGTCTTGTTGGCAGTGGGAGTAAGACAGTGAAGGCCAGCTGGGCATGGCAGGGCCTGCAGAACACAAGGTGACAGGGATAGCTGAAGCTTTGTAATCTGGTGCTGGGTTGGTCAAGGAAGGGCTGTCTCCCTTGATACCCCTTTTTGATGAAAGGGTACTTCATTCTTTTTCCACTCTGAAGAAATATACAACTCCAAAGATATAAAGCCTTCTATTGCATGATTTCTTTAAAGAATACTGTAATTAGATTCTACTGCTTCAGAAGCTGTATTATCATCACTGAGATTGTTCAGTATTTAACTAAAGTAATCTTTTTGTAATGTTGCTTTATGTTAATTAAAAAAATAAAGTACAGTGTAAGTAAAATACTACTACTGTTCATTTTTAGGTATCTGCTCAGGGGAGGAAAGCTATTTCGGAAGCAGAGTCCAGAATCTTCTGGCTAGGATTAATCACATGTCCTTTACTCTGGGTGATTTTTGCCTTCAGTGCCCTGTTTTCTTTCAAAGTTAAGTGGCTGGTGAGTAAAATATTCAGTTGTTTCCTGCTAAGCTCATTCTTGGGGCACAGTGAGGCCTTGCTTCTCTCACATATCTTCCTCTCCTTTTATAGGCAGTAGTAATTATGGGTGTAGCATTGCAAGGAGCTAATCTTTACGGCTATATTCGGTGCAAAGTGGGTAGCAGGAAGAATCTGACCAGCGCAGCAACTTTCTACTTGGGAAGGCAGTTCCTGCGGCAGGTATGTCGGAATTTTATTTATGCAACTATTGTTCTCCTCTCCCAGCATTGCCTCTCCCAAACTTTGCATTTCCTGATTTTGCTACTTTTTGTAGGCAAAATTCTTTTGTAAGAATTCAGGATCCAACACTGGCCTGTACAGGTTCTGTTACAGCTGAGATGGGTGCTTGTTTCGGTTGTATGTATTATAGCTCTGCCTTGGCCTGTTGAGGAAATATGTCACATAAGCTTTCAGAATGCTGTCTCCTGTTAATTTGAATACATATGACTTATCTTTGAGAAATCTGACTTTGAGGGTCTGAAGCTTAGACCATCGGTCTCTAACTTTTCTGGCTTGGTGCAGCAGCGGAGGGGGAAGAGGGGATGGTTCGGTGTGAGCGGCAGGGGATTGCGCAGCTCCATTTGCGCAAGCAGCATGCAAGCTTGCTGCACACGCAAATGGAGTTGCATGCGTGCTTGCCGCCGCTTCTGTAGCCCAGTTCTAAACGGGCCATGGTCTGGTAGTGGATTGCGGCCAAGGGGTTGGGGACCCCTGGCTTAGACGATCCTCGTGATTTTAATAACCATCTTCTGTTTAGGCAGTATTCTTTCCATGAAAAAACTCTACAGGTGCTTTGATGATAGCCTTTTCTAGGCAAAGCTCCAGTCATTGTGTCTGCCCACAGAAAGTGGTACAGAGAATATTTTTTTCCAGAATTGGGGCAAGTGCAGCCTACAACACGATTTTTCGAAGAGTTTAAGTATAGTCAATAGAGTCCTAATCTAATGCTATTTACTTTTCTTTTACAGGCCACGTCCAAGGACGACCAAGCAGTATCTTGAAGTTCATGAAGAAACATTACCTGCCATTTTCAGTCCTTATGGAGAATGGAGGGGGAAAGACACCCCTATTTCTTGGGCTCTGTACAGGAAATTTATAATCTGTGTATGGATTTTTGTAATTAAATATCTCATAGAAGTGTTAATTGTTACCATTTCTTACAACTTAGATTTTACAGAACTCTTCTTGACTCAACTGACTGCTGGACTCTTTAATTAATTAATTCTCCACTTAGAAGTAGGTTAAAAAAAATAGTGATGACATCTGTGACTATTTATAACGTTGCATTCCTGAAATAGCCAGAATTGTCCCCAAGAACTTCGCAGTCAAATATTTTTGCTGTTTCAAATCCAGCTTGTTCAAGAAGTCTCATGATAAGGGCTTGAACAACCTTTCCTCATGTGAGAACTATGGAATGTAACTAGATGACTTAATGTCTATATTATTGCGAGATCAGGTATTTTTAAGCAAGTATTTTAGATCTCAATTGGATAATTTGAACAATTAGATAATTTCAGCTAAAGATCAGGAATTGAGAGGAAGAACTAAGGGTTCCAATTTCACAATCAGAATAGAAAAACACTGATGCCTGTTGATCTGCAAAAAATAACTTTCCTGTTTTGTTTGGTTTTGATCTGAACCTTCTTGAATATTGAGATTTCCTGAGAAGCAAGGGCAAGTTCCCTTCAGCTTACTATCTGAGTAAAAGAGAATTTTCAGGCTACAACTATAGTAGCCTACAAGGATGTAGATCTCAATTCATAGCATCCTATAGAGAGAGGAAGGATTTGAGTGTGCCCCTTTGTGCCACTTAACAAGTTACTGATATTATAGAAGAACTGTTCTGAAATTGCTAGTGCCAATTCATAATGAACTCGAACAAGCAACTTCAGAACTGGTGAAATAAGAGATTGAGCTATTTAGGCGGCTCATGTTACTAGAAAAATCAGCCCAGGTAATCCACTGGAATGATTTAGGTCAGGAGTACCCAATCCCCAGGTCGTGGCCCACTACTGGGCCGTGACTTATTTGGAACCAGGCCGTGTGAGCAGTGGGCTGGCACACGTGCACATGTGTGTGCAGCTCAACTTGCACAAGTCAAGCTGCAGGCACATGTGCATTGACCTACAACTTGTGTGGGCCAGTTCCCCTCTCCCCTTCTTCCCCAAGCCAGGCTGCCAAGCTGCAAAAGTTGTGGACCACTGATTTAGCCTATCTGCAAGTATTTCTTTGCAAATGTAAGCAAAGCTTCAGTGAATTTAGGCTCTACTAAGAATGTGGTAGATTTCTGCAAACTCACTTCTTTGAGTGAGTCCTATGCACAGGGCTAGCTTGTCACGGTGTGCTACAGGTAGTTGGGTTGCTTTTCAAAATCGGAATTAAAGTTTATTGAGTTCCTGCTGTTTACTGGGTGGATATCCAATTCTTCATTTCAAACATGATCAATTTGTATATTTCTCAAAATGCTTAAACAGGAGTTAAAGCTGTGTTACAGTTACTGTTCAGAAGTTTATAAATTAAGCTTAGGAAAAAAGTATTGATTATAAGCAAACAATATAAGCCTAATGGTGGTTTATTGTTCATTTTTAAAAGGAAAAGCGATTGGCAAGTTTCTATATGAATGCTGATAGTTAATGTTCATATTCAGATATGAAAAGTGAAGGTTCTTGGAATACAGAAATAATATATTTAAAATCTCTGTTTTGCATTGTGCATGTTTGTTTGACCTTTCAAATTAACCTGTTTTCCAAAGAAATATATTTTTTTAAAGCTGAGAGATTCTGAATGGGTTTGATTTAGTGTGCCAATATCATGTGTCTTGGGTGATACACTGTAGTGAGTTTCATGTCGATTAATAAGCTTATGTCTTGAATCTACTCTCATATAGTCCTCCCTCTTTGTCTTTGTTTCCCTTGCCTTTTTGAGCTCTGCCCATTTCCATTTTTCACAACTGCATTCTCTGGGAAAGTGGCTGCAGTAGTTTCAGAGATGCACAAGTTTTTTTTAAGTGCATTATTAATAATTTTGTGAATCAACTTGAGCTTTATCTCCTTAGCTGGACACTGCAGCCATCTAGTTGTGCATTTTGGTTGCTGGCATTCCTCAGTGATGTATTCAGTAGCCTCGGTTACCCAAACAGTGAACTCTAGTGTAAATGATTGCAAGATTGCAAATTCATTTTTCAATAACTATTCTAATAATTTTATTATTACCTGAAAAGAGTCACAACAGATTGAATATAAAAACAATATTCATACCACTGCAAATGTAATATTTTCTAGGAAAACCTTTCACCCATTTAACTGAGAGAATAAATTGGTGTTGTGCCTCCATGGGTGTGAATCATATCACCTTAACAACGTACACAAGCTGCTATTCTTGAGAATCTCCCAGTTTTGCATTTTTTATTTTATTTTTTTTGCTGCTTATATTTCCTATCATATCTTTTCACTCATCAATCTTTCTGGTCTTTGCATTTCTAAAGTTTAACATAATTTCTTTTATACAAAGTCATCTAATAAAATCAAAGAACTTTTCATTGCTAGACCTTTCCCAGCAACAGTTTTCACATAGCACAAAATTACTGGCAAATTCCCCAATAGTTGTAAGACGTGAAGGACCATGCTGAACTAGCGAGATGGGTGTATATAAATTTAATAAACAAATAAACTATCATCCTATATTCCGAACTTGCCCATCAGATGCCAAGCAAATGTCCATCAAATGATGGTGAGATTTCAGCCAAACCTGGGTTTAGAGAGCAGACTGCCTTTGTTTAACATAATAAATGCATATCTTATCAGCCATTGATAACCTTATTCTGTATAAATCTATCCAGTTGCTTTTTAAAGTTAATTAACTTTCCAGCTGTATTATATGCTAATATATTGCATAGATGTTTGTAGAATGCTTTTTTCTGTTACGATTCTTCCACATTTTAGATTTATAGAATGAATCAATTTTTATATTAAAGGAAAAAAACCTGAAAGTCTGCATGTCTAAATTTACACTGTAATTATGTCTTCTTCACAGCTAATCTGGTTGATCTCCAAAAAATAAGCCAAATGAGATCTGATTTTTACTTACAAGGGAATAATAGATATATGGGCTACATTAGGATATCAACAATAACAACAAACAGTATTTTGAATTTCTGCTTCCATTTGTTGCAAGGACAACTATGTGGACGTATTGTATCCATGAAGTCACCAAGTCAAGTTTGAGTTGAATTTTTTCTTATTACCTCCTGCCTTACCTTTTTTTTTTCTATGTAAAACCCTTGAACATTGTCACCTTCCTTTCCTCTTAAGTAAACTGTTCCAGACCCACAATCATTTTCTGCACCTTCACTATTTCTGCAATAATCCTTTTATCAGAGAGTCTGGGGCTTGGCACATTAGAATAGAATAGAATAGAATAGAATAGAATAGAATAGAATAGAATAGAATAGAATAGAATAGAACAGAACAGAACAGAACAGAACAGAACAGAACAGAACAGAACAGAATAACAGATTTGGAAGGGACCTTGGAGGTCTTCTAGTCCAACCCCCTGCCCAGGTAGGAAACCTACACCACTTCAGAGAAATGGTTATCCAACATCTTAAAAATTTCCAGTATTGGAGCATTCACAACTTCTGCAGGCAAGTTGTTCCACTTATTAATTACCACATAAACTCTACCTGTGCATTTTGTTTTTCTTCCCTAAATGTAGAACCTTGCTTTTTTCACTGTTGAATTTCATTTTGTTAGATAGCGCCCAATGTTCAAGTCTTTTAAGTTGAAGTTCATAGTATTCCAAAGATAATTGCACCTGGAAAGTATATAAAGGCATTGCAAAATGAGCAGTTTTGTTTAAATTGCCTTTCTTACTTGTAAATTAGAAGGCAAAGCTGTGCTTCTTTTCAGCTATAATTGTTGCTTTGCTATAATTCTTACTTTTGGAAATTTTTCAAGATTAGTATGCATTTGTGTTTCCTGTACACAAACTATTGCCTTCCCTGATGGTTCACTACATTTCCCACTAATTATGGGTAGCATTTTTCATTCTGGTTGTTTCTAGATGGACATCTTAATATGCAATATATGTTTCCCTCAGTGCAGTTATTTGATGAAGCATCCAGACAGCCTTATTCTTCTGTCAAAATCCCCACACGCTGTCTTGTTTCTGTTCTGGGACAATCTTTTCAGATGGAAAGCCCTGAAACAGAAGCACGTATGTCCAAAATGCAAGTCGTGCCATCTCTTTTTATAAAATAGGGTTAGGAAATTAATGTCAGCAGCGATACTGGGATCTCCTCTCTGAGAATTCAGGTTCTTTTCAGTATGTGTGCAAATATTTCAAATTTTAAATCATTTAGGAAAAGTTTGTAGCTGTTTTATTCACTTCCAGAAAAAAATCCTGTATGCATACAGGTGAGATTGTTGTTAGTTGCGAAGTCTTGTCCAACCCATTGCAACCCCATGGACAACGTTCCTCCAGGCCTTCCTGTCCTCTACCATCCTCTGGAGTCTATTTAAGCTCATGCCTACTGCTAGCTATCTACAAATGAACATTTAAAAATGCTTTCTGTATGTCTGTACAACTGCAGTTCCTGAACTAGATCCGTAAAAACCTCCAGCTTATTTTTCTCTAACATAAAGGAATTTTCCCTAATTAATCCCAGCCACTATGGCAAATGGCAAGGCGTTGTAGAAGCTGTATTTCGAAATTTCTAGAGGGCATCTGTTTGCCAGAGTATTCCTATTATAGTCTGTTCTCAGAATATATCTACTTGTTCGATTCACAATGGTCAAATTTGGCCATTGATTTGACTTTTCCCTAATTTCTCAAGAAATGCAGTTTGCTGAGAATTCTCTGTTAAAAGAAGGTATAGTTTTCCGGTTTCTTCAGTTTGTGATATACTATCTAGTAAAGGTAAAGGTTTCCCCTGTCTAACTCTAGGGGACGATGCTCATCTCTGTTTCTTAAACAAGGGAGCCACTTCACCACTTCTGTGGTTATGTGGCCAGCATAACTATATACTAAGGCGCACAGAATGCTGTTACCTTGCCACCTAAGTGGTACCTATTTTGGTACCTATTTATCTACTCGCATTTGCATGCTTTCAAACTGCTAGGTGGGCAGGAGCTGAGGCAAGTAACGGGCTCACCCCCATTTTGCGGCGCTCTGGTCTTGAACCCAGGCTGAGACAGCTTGCCAGCTAATAAGCTCAGTGTATTTAACCACTGAGCCATTACACCCTCTATTCCAGGGGTGTCAAACTATTTCATTGAGGGCTGCATCAGGGTTGTGTTTGACCTCGGGGGCCGAATGGGCGTGGCTGGAGTAGGCATGGCCAGCTCAACATTCTGCAGCCCTCTGGCAGCTCCAAGCTCCGTTTTCGCTGCATAGGCACCACAAGCCGGTCCTTTGCTGTTTCCAGGGCAGCCCTGCAGGCCAGATCTAAGCACCCTGCTGGCTGAATCTGGCCCACGGCCTCAAGTTTGATATCCCTGCTCTATTCTGTCTAGTATTGGGGGGAGGGGGGATATTCTAGCATTTTTGTATCTTATGTCTTGATGTAACCTAGATTTTGAAAAATGGGTGGCTGAGAAGAACAAAAAGTTTATTTCCAACCACCTGCTTTTTCTTATACCTTTGTAGCGGGGAAGGATAGACAACCCTGGAGGCCTTCAATGAAATGCCAACAGTTCCCCCTCTACAAAATAAAAAAAGCAATCCTTACTATCATTGGCTGCTGAAGATGTAGAATTCTGGATTGACCTCAGGCAGAGAAGCTGGTGCTTGAAAATGAATTGGCAAATTAAATTCATTTAAGTGAGCCTAGTTCTTGAGATGGAACTGCAAATTGGCAAGGTGACCCTGAAACCCTGAGGCGTTTAAGCAGCTGTAAACTACTGCATAAATAATATGGTTATATTCCATTTAAGAATTGGTGTATATAAATTAAGTTGATAGCACTTCTGGTAAAATTGATATCAGATTGGCAAATGTTTTCCATGATGAGGCTGAAGCTGCTAAATTTAAGAATAGATTAAATATTGGGGAATTTGTGTGCCAAAAATGTGTAACATGACCATAAATTATGTTATGTGAAAAAGAGTACTAGCAGCTGTTTTGCAGAGCCCTAACGTGTAAACCCCCATATGCCTATGGATTTTGGATGCTCTTAATACCTTGGAGATAATTGTAGATTAGCTGAGAATTTTAGGTGCCAGAATATTCTCTCAAAATTGGGTTGTTTATCCATGGGTGGATTCATTTGCAAATGTATACGGTAAATAGTATGATAGTATAATCTTGTGAATGCATGTTGGGAGGGGCTTTGGTTCTCTTTCTTTTGTTGTGGTGGTGTTTACTTAATTCCTCAGGAGTACTTTTTTTCTCCCTCAGAACAAAAAACAAAACCCACCCACGTAATAATAACATCAGCTAATTATAGCCTTTTTCTAATCTTGCTTTTCTTGCCAATTGGGAAGCAACGCATCCCATTATGATGTGAGAATGCAGTGGCCTTTATTTGCCACCCAATTTGATAGCTGATGGAATGTAAACATTAAAAAGGATTTTGGATGAACTTTTGGTATAATGGAAACAGAAGCAATGCTTTCAAAGGCATGTGGTCATCAGAAGCAGCAACATTGAGGAAGAATGAAGCATGGAATAAGCTACATCAATTAATCCCATTGGATGCTGTCCAATCTACTAGAGTACAAGAATCAGCATGCCCAAATAGAATGACTTCTGGCAGTTTTAAGAAGTAAAAAAAACCCCACAAAATAAGCAAGGTTGGATGTTCAATATAAAAAGCATAAAATTAAACTTCCTTCTTCTAAACTTCCAGAAGGGTCCTCTCGCCCCTTCTGTTCAACGTTTATGTGAAGCCGCTGGGTGAGATCATCCGTGGTTTTGGGGTGAAGTGTCATCTGTACGCTGATGATACTCAGCTGTACATCTCCACCCCAGACCACCCCAACGATGCCCTTGATGTGATGTCTCGCTGCCTGGAGGCCGTGCGGGTCTGGATGGGGAGGAACAGGCTCAGACTCAACCCGTCCAAGACCGAGTGGCTGTGGCTACCGGCGTCCCGATATAGTCAGCTGGCTGACTATTGGGGGTGAATCTTTGCCCCCCACAGAGAGGGCTTGCAATCTGGGTGTCCTCCTGGATGCACGGCTGTCTTTAGAAGAGCATATGATGGCCGTGGCCAGGGGGGCCTTTTATCAAGTTCGCCTGATTCACCAGTTGCAGCCCTTTCTGGACCGGGACGCCTTGTGCACGGTCACTCACGCCCTTGTCACCTCCCGGCTGGACTATTGTAATGCTCTCTACATGGGGCTCCCCTTGAAGAGCACTCGGAGGCCCCAACTGGTCCAGAATGCGGCCGCGCGGGTGGTTATGGGCGCAACTCGTGCCCGCATGACACCCCTCCTGCGCGAGCTGCACTGACTCCCAGTGGTCTTCTGGGTGCGATTCAAGGTGTTGGTCACCACCTTTAAAGCACTCCATGGCACAGGACCCGGGTACCTTCGAGACTGACTTCTGCCACCAATAGCCTCCCACCGGCCAGTTCGCTCCCACAGAGAGGGTCTCCTCAGGGTGCCATCAGCCAAGTTATGTCGGCTGGCGACACCCAGGGGGAGGGCCTTCTCTGTGGGAGCCCCAGCCCTGTGGAATGAACTGCCCCCGGAAATACGTAAGATCTCCGACCTCTGGGTGTTTCGCTGTGCACTGAAGACCTTGTTGTTCCGCCAGGCTGGGCTATCAACATAATAATTTTAAATTGGGGTATTTTAAATTTGTGGGGTTTTAAATTGAGCCAAATTTATTTAATTATTTTAAATTTTTAATCGATGTTTTGTCTTGTGTTTTTAAATAGGCTGTACACCGCCCTGAGTCCTTCGGGAGAAGGGCGGTATAGAAATAAAATTATTATTATTATTATTATTATTATTATTATTATTATTATTATTATTATTATTATTA